CTATGGTGTGTTAAGACTATGGTGAATTTACAATATCCTGATCTAATCATCATTCGTGTCTGTAGAATAATAACAAAGGCAACTGATTCCTAGATCATACTGCAAGCTGGCACAGTTTATTTAAGTCTTGTTGGAAGTTCTCTTCCTACCCTGTTCTTTTTTTGTCAGTGGTGACCCCATGCTAAGCCAGGATTCTCCCAACATTTTGGGGGTGGGCGGCGTCTTTGTTAATTTCCTCAGTTCAGCAATGAATATGGGTTCACTGACTTTGTTTTAACAATGAGGTTTATTCAAGCATGAAGGAGGAAGTGACAGTGGTAATGTCACTGGGTTGGTAGCCTAGAATTTCAGCTAATGCTCAGAAGACATGAGTTCAATCCTGTTGCATTTAAATCCAATTAATTAACTGGATTTAAAAGGTCAGTTGCAGTAATGGTGACAATGAAACCGTTACCAATTGTTTAAAAAAAAAATCTGGTTCACCAATGCCGCTTAAGAAAAGAAATGATCAGGCTTACAAACCTACAGCAATGCGGTTGACTCTCAACTGCCCTTTGCAATGGCCTAGCAAGCCACTCAGTTGTATCAAGCTGTAATGAAGTCTAAATGGGGTAAAACTGGAGAGACAGGCAGCGGCCTCAAGCAGCAGAAATAGCAACCGCCAACCCACGCTAACGTCTGAGCAATTGTGCCATGATTGGGAGAGCTGTCCCACAGACCAATCAAGCAGCAGGAGAATTGTACCTTTTGTAGACTGTGCCAGGATCCTACCTGTCCTTTGCCACCAGAGAAGGCAGCAGAATCGTATACAGGTAGGAGGGAGTTGCCCTCAGAATCCTCAACATTAACTCTGGACCTAAGAACTACCAAGATGTCACCAAACATGACAAATGAAATCTGATCACCACCTATGTACTATTTACCCCCAGTCTACCATTCCTGTCAAACTGTGGATCAAACTGGTTCAATGAAAAGTGCAGAAGCACGTTTCAGGAGCAGAAATGTGCATGTGAGGTATCACCCTGCTGAAACTACAATGCAAGATTACATGTTTGTCAAATAAGATAGTGATGGACGGGGCTAAGTGATCCCACAGTTAATGGATCAGATCTAAGCTCTGCTCTTCTGCCACATCCAGACATGAATGGTGTTGGACAACTCACTGGAGGAGGAGGTTCCACAAATATCCCCATCCTCAATGAGGAGAAACCCAGCACATCATCACAAAAGACCAGGCTGAAGCATTTGCATCCATCTTCATCCAGACTTAAATGGATGATCCCTCCTGGCTCTGTCGTGAGATCCCCAACATCACAGTTGGTAGTTTTCAGCCAATTCTGTTCATGACAAAATGGTTGAAAGCACTGGATGTTGCAAAGCATATGCGTTCTGAACGTTGCTCCTACAGCAAGGAGTTTGATACCATCATCCAATTAATCAATTTGATTGGTATTCTGTCTATGTTTCGACATTCACTCCCTTTCTCCTCCAGCCATGCACAGTATCACCCATAATCATAGAATCTCTACAGTGTGGACGCAGGCCATTTGGTCCAGCGAGTCCACACCAATCCTCTGATGAGCATCCCAGCCTGTAACCTTGCATTTCCCATGTTTAATCCACCTAACCAGCACATCCCTGGTTACTCTGGGCAATTTAGCATGGCCAGTCCACCTAACCGGCACATCTTTGGACTGTGGGAGGAAACCGGAGCACCCAGAGAAAACCCACGTAGATACGGGGAAAACGCACAAGTTCTGAACAGACAATCGCCCCAGGATGGAATTGAACCCAGGTCCCTGGCGCTGTGAGGCAGCAATGCTAACCACTGAGTCAGCATGCTGCCCCACAATGACTCACTAAGGCACCTCAGACAACACCTTGCTCTTCCATCACCCCTTCACATATAACGGCATTGACCAGGAGCTAAACTGGACCATCCATAATAAATACTGTGGTTACAAGAACAAGTCAGAGGCTGGGAATTCTGTGGCAAATAACTCACCACCTGATTCCTCAAAGCCTGTCCACTGTCAACAAGGCAGTAGTCGGGAGTGGGAAGGAATAAACTCCCCTTACCTGGATGAGATGTAGCTTCAACAATGGACAAATATCTCCTCACCATTTGGAATATTGCAGCCCACTTGATTGGCACCTCACCCACTGCCTTAGACATTCACTTGCTTCAACACCAATGCACAATGGCAGCATGTGTACCTCTTATAAGATGCACTACAGCAACTTACCACCAATCCCATGATAGCACCTTCCAAACTCATGATCTCCACCAGAAGACAAGGGCAGCAGATGCATGGGAACAAGTGCCCCTCTAAACTTCTCACCACCTTGACTGTGAACTGTATTACCATTCTGTCACTGTTGCTGAGTCCAAATCCTGGAGCTCCCTAAAAGCCCAGTGCCCCTACACCATGTGGACTGTAACCCTTTAAGAAGGCTGCTAGTCACCACCACCCTGAGGGTATTTAGGGATAGGCATTAAATACTGGCCCTGCCAATTGCACCCACATGACATGAAGAAAAATTTAAAAATCTTAACTGTCATACATTTGGAAGGATGTTATACTGATTGCTGTGTAAACCTAAGTACTGTCTTTTTAAAACTTTGGGCATTTCAAACCAGCTGTTCCCCTTGCCCTTTGGGAAAAGTAAATTTGTTTTCCAGTAAAACCCACATGACAGTAATACAGTGATAAACCTTACCCTGGGGTATTGAGGGCAACTGGAGTATCTGCCCATCATTCCCCAACACTCCCACTGCCCAAATCCATGGAGATCAGCTAATGCCGAAGAACCAAGATGCGGGATTATAAAGGTTTCTGAGTTTTGCATTTTCATGAAATTGATATCATCCTGAACCCTGCTACTCATCGTCTTACCAAGTCCCATTCCCTTAGCACCACTGTGCTCATGGCTTCCAGTTAAACCGTACTTTCACTTAGAAATTCTCATCCTTGTGTTCAAAACTCACCATGGCTTTGCCTTCGCTATTGTCTGTATCTCTGAAGTCCCACAGTCTTCTGGGAAATCTGTACTCATCTAATGCTGGCCTCTTGGGTGTCCCCATTTTAGTTATTCCACTTGTGGTAGTCATGCCTTTAGTTGTGTAGGGCCTAAGCCCTGGAATCACTTCTCTGTCTCTCTACCTCACTCCTCTCATCCTTTTAACTAACTCCTTACAACCTGCTTTTGGTCACATGGCCCATGATGTCCTTATGTGCCTTGGTGCGGGGCTTTGTTCTGAATTAAAACACTCCTGTGTAGTGCTTTGGGACTTCCTATTCCAGTAAGGGTGTTAAGTAAATACAAATGATTGTTGTCTCAATCCTACATTGTGCAGCACTATGATAGGATTTACATAAGATTCCTGTTCAAAATAACCTACGGGCACTGCCCCCTTTGAACCACCATACCGTTCTTCCCTCAGTGGTTAGCAATGCTGCCTCACAGCACCGCGGGCCCGGGTTCGATTCCACCCTCGGGCAACTATCTGTGTGGAGTTTGCGCATGCTCCCCATGTCTGCGTAGGTTTCCTCCGGGTGTTCCAGTTTCCTCCCACAGTCCAAAGATGTGCAGGGTAGGTGGATTGGCCATGCTAAATTTTCCATAATGTACACGGATGTGCAGGCTAGGTGGATTAGACACGGGAAATGCAGGGTTACAGGGATGGAATAGGGCACAGTGGGTCTGGGTGGGCTGCTGTTTGGAGGGTCAGTGTGGACTCAGTGGGGTGAATGGCCTTCTTCTGTACTCCTTGGGGATTCTATAAGTGCCAGGTTATTGGGGAGGCTGGTGGTGTAGTGGTAATGTCATTACATTAGCAACCCAGAACCCCAGGGATGTGGCTTTGTATCCCACCATGGCAGATGGTGAAATCTGAATTTAACAAAAACTCAGGAATAAAATATAAAGCTAGTTTACTGGTGATTACATAACCATTGACGATTATTGTAAAAATCTGTCTGGTTCATCAGTTTCCTTTAGGCAAAGAAACTGCTGTCCTTATCTGGTCTGGGCCTACATGTGACTCCAGACCCACAGAAATATGCTTGGCTTTTAACTGCTCTCTGGGCGATTAGGGATGGACAGTAAAAGCTGTCCCAGCCAGTGACCCCCACATCCCATGAAAGAATAAAAAAAAACTTTAATAACATCAATCCTAACTCCTCATCGTAATAGCTCATCCATGCTACAACAACAATTGGCCTTTCTGTAGTGCCTTTAATGCAGCAAAACATCCCGCAGAATCCCAAACAAAACCTGATCCTGATAGAATTCCAGAACAGATGGCTCAGGGAGCTGAAGGTGTGACCAGCGAGTTGGAGCAGTTAAAATCCGGGAAGTGAATAAAACCAGAATTAGAAGGGCACAGAGATCCTGGAGGGTTGAGCTACAATAAACAGTCAACACTACCAGGTGGTCATGTTTTTAGTACGACACTCAGAGATTGATTACAAAAAGTCTGGTTGGAAACTGGTGATGTTCCTGCAGCTCTCTGAATATTGGGCTTGGTTGCGTTCTATTGCAACATTGATTTCTGGTATTAGTCAGTTAGTAGGATCCACTGTATCCTTGTAGTGATCGCTTTAATAATAACCTGCATTCCATATTAGTCACACAAGAGCATTTCACTTCATGGGTGAGGCTCCTTTATCACACTGTCCACTTCTGCAGATGGAATATGTTGGCGAGAGATCACCGTGCGGGGGGGGGGGGGGGGGGGGGGGGGGGGGGTGGTGCGGTGGTGAGTGTAAGGCTGGGGTCACGGAAATCCAAAATGTTATCGGGGAAAAGCTGAGACCTTTGCTAATCATAAATGCAAGTGTTGCAGACTGAAAGCAAACACTGTGCTTTTCAGTGTGCAATGGCTTCTGGCAATGTATTTGTGGTGTTGGTGAAGGGCTGAAGTATTCACATATCTTGGCTGCTGAGGCGGAGAAATATAAATTGAAAGGAAAATGAATGTTCTTGCCTCCTCGCAGACCTCCTGAGGGCCCGGCAAGAAGCAGTTGCTGCCGTTCGGAACTCCAGTGCCATGGAGCCTCACATCCCATCTTCAAGTAGTTCATCGAGTCAGAGGAGAAAGCAGGGACTCCCCCAGCACAGAGATGCACACTTTAACGAGAGGTCAGTGTCAACTCTGTCATCGCCTTGTTGCAGCAGGTTCTGTTTCGTGAATACAGAGATATCCGTCGTTTGCTTTCAGTCATTTGAAACTTCTTCCTAAAGAGAAATCCACATTACTTTCTGTGAAATGTAGCATCAGTATTTAGACATGTGGCGATTTTGTTTTCTTTTTCGTTTCTGGTCTTTCTTAAACAGTTGTTCTAACCATAATTGTGAACCTATGCCAATTCCCACCCCTTTTCAAGTTGGAGAGGGTTCAGAAAACGTTTACCAGGATGGTGCTGGAAATGGAGGGTTTGAGTTGTAAAAAAAATAGGCTGGGACTTCTTTCACTGGAGAGAAGGAGGGTTGAGGGGGTGACCTTTATAGAGGTTTATAAAATCATGAACGGCACTGATAAGGTGAATAGCAATGGTCTTTTCTCTAAGGTGGGGGAGTTCAAAACTAGGGGGCTTATTTTTAAAGTGAGAGGAGAAAGTTTTAGAAAAACATAAGGGACAACGTTGTTTTACGCGGTGGTTCATATGCGGGATGAACTGCCAGAGAAAGTGATGGATGCAGGTACAGTTACAACATTTATAAGACATCTGGATAAGTAAATGAATAGGAAAGGTTTGGAGAGATATGGGCATGTGGGACTAGTTTAGTTTGGGAACATGGTTGACGTAGACTTTTTTATTCTTTATGCATTCACGGGATGAGGGCGTCGCTGGCTTTGCAGTATTTATTGCCCATCCCTAACTGCCCAGAGGGCAGTCCAGAGTCAGCCACATTGCTGTGGGTCTGGGGTCACATGTAGGCCTGACCAGGTAAGGATGGCAGTTTCCTTCCCAAAGGGTCTGTTTCCGTGCTGTATCAATCTCCCATGCGTGCATTTATTTTCTTAGATCCATTTTCCTCCATTTGCAATCGCTATTACCCTGAGTTTAACAAATTGAGCACTAAGTATCTTAGGTTTTATCACACATGGCTGACATTTACATTCTGAAATCATTGAGACGTTCAGCAGGGTGGAATTTTTTTTTGAGCCTCTTTGAATGCCGTAAGAGTGAGGAGCTAAGATGGTTTGTACTAAACGGGCATCGAAGATTCATGGAGAAAGAGTACAAATAATAGCAGTTAGGAACTAATCAGCACCTTTCCTCTGACAAAGTGTGCATGGGTCCTTCATAGGAGAAGAAATGGATAACCAGTTTGACACACAGTCAGAGGAAGACCAGTCATTTGAAAGCTCCGGTAGGGAGTTGGGTTTTAAGGAGCAGAGAGAGCTGGTGAGGTTTAGCAAGGGAATGCCAGAGCTTTATGGGTCTCAGACAGCTGAAAGCTGACGGATGGAAGTAAATGACTTGTGAATAAAAGAAGCAAAAGAGAACAGTATATTGTTTCTTCAAATTACCAACAGAACTTGGAGTTGCTACCGTTAGAGATGAAAGACAGAATGTAACTCCCTGCAGTTAGGTACGGTAAAGTCCTTACGTTAACCTCAGTGAGACTCTCACCCACTAAGAACACTTTTTTTTCAGACTTTTTTTGCCCCTGTCTCCTATTTTGATTATTTGTTTTATTTTTTTTTGCTTTGCAGTTTGGCCCTGGATAGGCACACCCATCACAGCCCAACGCTCACCATCTACCATGCACCAGACAGTGATTATTTTTTTAATTATTATTTTTTTTTGCTGCCCTCCTGTTTCCAAATAAAGCTAGGAGAGCTGGGGATATTCATATGAAATGGTTTTTGATCCTGGTTCATTGCTGTGGCTTGGAGGCTCTCTGCATTTTAGACTGTGTGAAAAGTAATTTGATTCCTACCTAGCAGGGGAATAAGTTGAGGTTGGTGTGACCGCAGGCTGGGGAAGCAACACATGCTTGTCTTAGCTGGCAACAATCTGGAACGGAACTCTTTCCTTTCCTGGGGAGGTCTGCCCTTTAAGTACTGAGTATCGACTCTGCTCCTTTCCCGAGTTTAGTTTTATCTGGCTGCATTGGAGCTATTCCCTTAGACAATGTTTTGACTGAACAAACCATCTGTTTAGTGCCCTTTTTGAATGCACTTGACCGTCACACAGCACTTCACAAGCAGGGAACTGGTTTTGTTTGCAAATGGAATGGCCAATCTGACCAGACCAGCCATTGGAATGAATGAACCATTCCTGCTGATTTTTAAATCTGTTGAGGGGAGAATGTTGACTGGAACTGGGGGCATGGTTTAAACATAAAGCCTCTTCCATTTAAGATGGAGGTAAGGAGGAATCTTTTCTCCAGAAGTTTTGGCAGAGGTAGATAGATTCTTGACTCGCAAGGGATTCAGTGGTTGTCACTGGTAATTGTGTGTGGAATTGAGGCTATGGTCAGATCAGTCTTGATCTTATTGAGCAGGGTCAAAGGGCTGAATGGCCTGCTCATGCTCCTAATTCATGTATTCCTATGGGACTCCTTGCTGTTTGTTACATGGTGCTCTGGGCTTTTGTACATCCACCAGTGTAACAGGCAGAGGGGGCCTCAGTATAAAAGCATCTTTATGTGCAAATGTCTCCTCTGATACTAAATGTCCCTTTAGAAATAAGACCATAAGAAATAGGAACAAGAGTAGGCCATTCGGCCCTTCAAGCCTTTTCTGCTGTTCGATAGGATTGTGACTGATCTGACATTGTGTCAGACATCAAAGTCTTGAATAGGTTTATTTTTAAATTTTGGATTAGTTTATTTGGGTTAATTTTTTTAACATATATAAGGGGAGGAAAACACAGGATCAGGAAGCAGTCTTCCAGCCGCCAACTCGGGTTGACTATTCAGCCAGATCACAACGAATCTGTGACTTCATGCCATGATTTCCTAACCCTTATTGCCTAACCAACCAAAATCTATCAATTGTCTTTTACAAATTCTCAATTGACCATCAGTGACAATATCTTTTCCAGCTGGGTTTCCACTAGGTGTGATCACGAAGTTTATAAGGGCTGGGGAATGCCAGGGAAGGTACAGGAATGGTTAGAGATAGTAAGAACTGCCAATGCTGGAGTCAGAGATAACACTGTGGACTTGGAGGAACACAGCAGGCCCGGCAGCATCAGAGGAGCAGGAAAGTTGACATTTCGGGTTGGGACCTTTCTTCAAAAATGGCCCCATTTTTGAAGAAGGGTCTCTATCTGAAATGTCAACTTTCCTGCTACCTGGTCTGTTGTGCTCCTCCAGCTGCACAGTGTTATCACAGGAATGGTTAGACTCAGTTTTCATTCCGCTCTGATGAGGCACAATTGTAAAGGATTTTGTGTAGCAGTGGCAACAAAAAGTCCATTTTTTAAAGGATGGGTTTGCACAAGGATGTCTTCTTACTGTGTCACTGTACATACACACACAGCCATAGGGGACTTGGGGAAAATATAAGTGCTACTGCTGGGACCCCTTTTTGGGTACAGTGCTAATGTGGGTCAATTTTAAAAAGAAAAAAACAGGCATTTGAGATTCTCATTAGTGTAGGGACTGGCTCTGAGTTGGTTGGTCAGAGTCCATGTAATGTGCACATGTAAATAAAGGGTGACTCGGTGATGGGATACTGGCATCTGTGGAGCTATTTCAGTGGCGATGAGAGAAAACAGTACGCTCCTTTAAAAAAAGGGGGAAAAACAAATTGAAGGACTGGGTTTATGACTTTGTTAACATGAATTCTTGTCCTACCTCAATGAGGCCTATCTCCCAGGCCTATTGAATCACTCATTCCTGCCCTGGTGTGACTTGTCCTGCTTTATATACCACCGGCTTCCTCAAATGCATCTGTAGAAAGGCTCACGTTGGGGGAAAATGTGAAAAAAATCTTTGAAAATGACGTGTCGACAAAGGGGCCTATTGATTTTATTGACTCAAGGCATCGAGAAGGGATAAGACTGTAAGAAATAGGAACAGGAGTAGGCCATTCAGCCCTTCGAGCCTGCTCCACCATTCAATAAAATCATGGCTGATCCAACATTCCTCACTTCCGCTTTCCTGCATTTTCCCACATTTTCCCCATAACCCTTGATTCCTCTACGGATCAGGATTCTATCTATCTCAGCCTCGTATTATTATTGATTATAAGATTATATTGATAAACTCAGAATTTCCACAATCCGGGGGTACCTCGGATCAGAAATATCAGACTCCAGCTGGGAATCAATAGCAGAAAACCGAACTTCAAATGAGTCGGTTATGAGTGGCATGACTCTGGCGTTGTATTCCAAAAATTGTTGACTCAGTCCAAGACTGTGTGGATTGTCTTCAAGAAGCAGCTTACTCCACACAATGCGAACAATATTAGGTGAAGTGTGATGAATTATAGCTTTCCTTGTGTGTTGTGGTGTTTAAAAGCTGTCAGGAATAGGTATGTAATAAAATAGACGAATGGCTCCCACTAAACAAATGTGAAAGCAGAGACTATCAAATTAACCACTAAATGCAATACCTTTCCATCAGATTACAGAATGAAATCGGATTAAAGATTTACAACTATGATGCAGATTTAATAAATCAAATACTTTGGATGTGTATGGAGCTTTTGTTATTGATTTTATTTTCCGCTTATTCCAAACGAAGTTACTTTGGTTTTAGTCTCGTTTGTTATCTGTATTGTATTTTTGAAATCATTTTTCACATCTATCCCATGTTTTTGAAAAAAAAACACATTTATTAATAAACATTAATATATGGTCAGCTTTTGAAGAACAAAAGAATGTGGTAACTTGGAGGTGGCAGAGTTTTGGAGGGGGGCAGTTTCTATTTGAGTGTGGGGGGAGTGAGAGTAAGAATATAAAGGGCAGGATTACTTTATGGGATAGCTGGGTACAAAGACAGAAGGTATGCAGAAAGTCATGATGGGTTCCATTTCTAACACTAAAATTAGCTAATTAAAGCTTTCCAAGAGATCTATTAAGTTTTTTTTTGTTTCAGAAAAAGATCACTTGTTCATTTATCAGCAAATAACTTTGATTCTTGTAATTGACGTTCCTGACATCATTACTTTTCCTGTA